AAAAAAAAAAAAAGCATAATTACTCAAAGTTAAAGGAAGAGTGAAAAAAAAATACGGCAAATATGTAATACGAATGTACATGAGTTCTAAAGGTTAGTTTTAAAACTAATAAATGCACAGTGGAAAACTGATTTTTTTTGGTTAAATAGCAAAAGAATAAAGAAAGAGACAGACGCTAAATCCTTTATCTCTAATTTTATCTCAAATCTCTAATTTGTCTTTCTGTAGATCTGTGCATCTGTGCATCTGTGCATCTGTGCATCATCAGTTATTGGGCGCAGATGTTCGAATTGTGAAAATATTCCAAGTCCTAAAGTGATTTTAATATAAACACGAAAAATTAAAATGTGACCCATATGAGAGTTTTGATGTGTGCTTGCAGCACTTCTTCCTGCTTGCCGGGCGTGGTTGGCTTGCCGCAGACTTTCTTTCTTGATAGATTCCACCAGTTTTGCTAGCGTCGTGTCCTTGGTTTTGCCTGGCAAATGTGTGTAGGTTATTTGGACGTGTTGGAGACAAGCGGCTGTGATAGTGAATCCTTGATACTGAGACATCGGCTTCGGTGGGCGGGCCACCTCGTCGGAATGGATGACAGCTGTGTTCCAAATCCATTGTTTTATGGTGAGCTGCGAACAGGGAAGAGAAATGCCGTCAAACCTAAGATGCGCTATATGGACTGCACTGAAGAAATTCAACATTCCTTGTATGCTCTGGGAAGAAGGTGCATCTGATCGCAATAATTGGAATGGGGCTTCTCGGAGTGGAGGGTGTAACTTTGGGGAGGGGAGGAAGAGTCACGCAAGGCTTAAAAGGCGTCCCCGTTGAGCATCCTGAAGACACCCGCAGGCAGCTCGATCTTATGTACGCAGATTGTGGTGGAGTGTGTTTGTCGATAACTAATCTGGGGAATCACTTGAGAGCACACCGACGGAGAGTGGAAATTAACTATGGGACTGTGGCCTCCAGCAACTGCAATGTTATATATGCGTTGAGACATGCGGGTCTAGAGGCGGTTTCAGGCGACATTTTAAATTGCATGATAATGTAACACCCGCTGCTGCAACTCTTAAGTGCCCAATTTGTGCCAGAGTATGTGGGTCCCTTGGTGGACTAAAGAGCCACATTCGTTCAGCACATCAGTAGATATTCTCTAAAAAGTAGTAATGACCCTACTCGGACACGAGTTGGCAACTACTATATATATCCTTAAAAATCCATCAGGAAAGGTAATAATTTATTTCGGGGACCTCGCGTCCATCTCTTCAAACCATTTTTATATTGATAAATGAAGTTCAATTTAACGTCAAAAACGACATTATTTTTGCACCAACCTAACAAAACTTAAAAATGCAAACATACACACACTCATATACACATAAATATACACATGTATGCATATGCATGCACATACACACACATACACATCCAACCATAGACGAACACATTTGCATACACATACACATACGTATATGTATATGTCGATAATAATAATAATAATGATATAGATAAGGAAAATAAAATTAATTCATATATTAAGATTATGACCGATGTAGGCATGAAAATCACATAACTGATAATACACACACACACACACACACACACATATATATATATATATATATATATATATATATATATATATATAAACATTGAATGCATGAAGGCATACATGTTAGTACCCATAAAAATATAATAATAGTATAAAATTCTTTAAAATTAATGTTATGGGCGAATTTTAAAAAGGTTTTTATGTCTACACTTGAAAACAAGTTCGTTTCGTTGGTTCAATAATTCATCAGCATTTTTATACTTAATCATTATGATTATTTAATTTTATGCATAGATTTCATCTGTCTCTGAAGTCGATGGGAGTTTGCGATTGAAGGATGATCCTCCATTTTATTTGTTAGGTGAAACCTCCATCTTTAAGATTCCAATAATCTTTAAATAGAGCCGTTTGATATCTTAAAGTCGTTTGATATCTTGATTCTAAAGTCTGCTTACAAATCCTAGCTGATATTTCTATGTATACCTTCTCTGACTGATGTTTTGCTTCGGAAAAATAGTAGCTTCGCCTACTACATTTTCTAAAGTACAGATACCTCTAACTGGGCAATTCGGTTTTACAATTAAAAGGAGACTTATTTTCCTGTGTTTTACTGTGATAAAATTTCTTTAGTAAAAGGTTATTGTGCGAGTTAATTATACTGTGTTTATTACTAATACAGGAATAACTGATTTTTTAGAGTTTTTCTATTAAAAAGTTTACTCAAGCATAGAAATAAATACAATATGGGAACCAGTAATAAGGAGTGCCAGAGAAAAGCAATGATAACAACAACGTTGCAATATGAGCTCTGGTAAAAACATGCAATGATAACAGCAAAATTGCAATATGAGCACTGGTAAAAATGGTCGCTGAAGAAGTTAGGTTTATAATACCCAGAAATTCATACCCAGATGTCCTCAAGGACACATGATACAGTGGGTAAAGGCGTTGGTTAGATCCAGTGACAGGACCCAACGAGTGTGAGTTCAATACCTGGTTAAGGCAGTGGAAAACTTTCAGAGGGAAATTAGCAGGAGATAACTGATAACTGACATCCAACAAACATGGCACGTGGAACTAGAACAGTCTACCCCAGTGAAATTCCAACCACCTGAAGAAGGCCGGAGCGTACAACGGCCGAAACGTGATAAATATGACGACAAAGATGAGGACAATAGTTCGAATAATGTAAATAATGTACATAATACCTCATCTCAGAAATATAGACAGACTCTAATTTATTCTCATTGAAGATTATTCTGTTAGATGATAATCTATTAATTCTAGAGTTAACATTGTTAGCGATTTGAATAATTATTGACTTAGGGTGATTGTAGTTGACATTAATATAAATAGGAGTTTGATTTTCTTTATGAAATGGTTTGAATGTGTTATTAGAGTGGTTGAAAGTGATATCTAAGAAATTAAATATTTTAAGTTTAGATGAGATTTCAATTTTAGTAATAATACTTTTAAAACTTCTGTTTATAAAAAACAACTTGTAAAGAATTTTACCATCTTAATTTCTCTAGTGAATACTCTCCTAGATATAAAATAGATGTTATTAAAAATTTCCTTACGAGTGCGCACGGGAATTCATCCTCTCGCAAGCTTTTCTTTAAAGAATTAAACAATGTAAAACAAACGCTTATTATTAATGGAGTTCCTAATCATTTGTTGGATTTCCATATTAAACGTTTTCTGTAGAAGGTAACTAATAGCAACGACTAGAATAGAAACATAAACAATAACATTAATATTTTTTTATAAAAATCAAATAAACGAAAATTATAAAGAAGACGAAAGTAGAATTAAGAACATTATAAAAACAATGCACAACACCAGATGGCAATAGCAAAAAAAAAAAAATTAGATTAATTATTTATAACAAAAATTTTAAAAGCTCTAATCTTATAGTTAAAAAAAAATTATCTTTTATAACAAAATTAAATAAGGCAAATATTATTTACGGATTTAAATGTCCATTAAGAAATTTTATTCCTCATCAATCAAAATTCGTAAATAATTATATAGGCCATACTACAACATGTTTGACACGAAGACTCACGCTACACCTTTCTGACCATAGCTCAATTTAAATATTTATAGAGACCTACCGGTTCTTATTTGTAACATACTTGTTGACAATAGAAATATAATAGCATCATCTACGTGTAAAAAAAGGCTGAAAATAATGGAAGCCTTAGGAATAAAAGCCAAAAAAAAAATAACTCAATAATATCAACTATGGGCATGGGCACAATATCTTGACCGTGTTTTAAAAAATGAAAACATTATATAAATACATACATGCAATAAACTATTTCTTATTTAACAGTTAAAATATTTCATCTATGAAAATGGCTAAATCTATAGCCGAAAGTGTTCGGATAAAAAAAAAAAAAACATTCGGACAGTTTTTATATAATTTATCATCTGAAACGAAAAAAAAAATAGATCGCATGAGAAATGTCATATTCAATGAAATGTCCATATATATATATATATATATATATATATATATATATATATATATATATATTTTGATTGGATTGATGTGAGTTTGTGACCCTGGGTTTCACACTTTTTGATCGTCAGTTTGTCTCACATCAACCCAACCAAATATGTTAGCTCTATCTCTGATATTGAGCGCTTTCTAATAAGTACCGAGCATATAATATATAAATAATTATATATATATATATATATATATATATATATATATATATATATATTTATATACACACACTTTCACACACACACACACATATATATATATAATTAGAAAAAAGAGGCCACGTATGCTTCATATAATTCATAAAATAGAGAAGATAAGTTGGTCAATAAAACAAAGTCAAACGAAAAGTTACCGATAAAATCAGTACGAAAAACATTTACTAATGTTAACCAGGTGTCAAAAATTAAGCACTGATATTGAGGTTCCAAGTTGGGAGTTTTCGAACACGCCAGTATTCTTCATCAGGGGATGCGAGAAATAATCAGCGGGACGATGGAGCCTATCTAACATTAGTTCTTGAGGTGAGTAGTGTTCGCTTGTAGGTGGAATTATTAGAAAAAATCTGTTCCCTGTCTGAGTTCTAGCTGTGCGAAACTTTATGTGAAAATAACCATAGATTTGGAGAGAGAAGGAAGAAAAAGGCAAAGAAAGGCAAAAAAACAAAAGCAAAACAAAAAAAAAACATCAATAAAAGAAAGAAAGTTAAGGAAAGAGAGAAAAATAAATCGAGTGATAAGAATAGCGAAAAATAAATATATAGAAAAAGACAAAAATAGTCAGTAAGAAAGCGGGAGATTGATAGATAGATACATATATATATATATATATATATATATATAGCGAGAGAGAGAAAGAGAGAGGGAAAGAAAATTAGAAAGAGAGAGTGAGATAGAAATATAGTGTGAGTTAATGAACGAGAAATATGAAAAAATCCTAACGAAAAAGAGAAAGAAATATCAAGAGAGAGAAAGATAAAAACGGCAGAACGAAAGAGAGGCAGACAGACCGAAAAAGAATGATAAAGAGAGTAAGAGCGTAAGAGAGAGCGATAGAAAAAGTCCAGAAGGAAGAATGAGAGAGAGAGAGAGAGAGAGAGAGAGAGAGAGAGAGAGAGAAAGAAATGAGTGAGAAAGATAAAGAAAAAGTCAGTAAGAGAGAGGGAGAGAAATATAGATTATAGTAGGGAGAAATATACTCTGCTTCAACGAAAGAAAATGATAAAGAGATAGAGACAGCAGTCAAAACTGGAGAGGAAAAAAGAGAGAAAGAACGAAAGATATAAAAAGAGAGATAAAGAGTAATAGAGAAAGTGAAAGAAAGAGAAGTCGAAAGCTAAAGAAAGAGGGAAAGAAAGAGAGAGAGATACAGACTATCAGAAAGAGAAAAAAAGTAGAAAATCAGTGAAAGAAAGAAAGAGAGAAAAACGATACGAATGCTTCCAATATAGAGAAGCAAACAAAGGGGGCAAAACAAAGAGAGAGGAAGACAGAGGGCGACAGAGAGTGACAGATAGATAGATAGATAGATAGATAGATAGAGAGAGACAGATACAGAGACTGAGAGAAAGAGAGTGAGAGAGAATGAGAAAAAGAGAGAAAATTAAGCAAGCAATTTACACTCACTCGCCATTTTCTTTGTCTGTTCCACCTCCTGCTATTATCTTCCTGCACTTTCCGCATGAGTTCATTCTTCATAGCTTCACCTCTACCAATTCAGTTATCCCGACAATGATAAAAAACAATATCTCCTGACTTCTTGCCATTTCCGGTTGAATGGCTGTCTGGAATATTGCATATATAAGACTTTGCATGCACAAGCAAAACTAAATTAGTAGATTGGAAGAAAATATATCTAAAAGAGGAGAAATTGACTGAACACTAAATGAATGATAGACACATAAAACATACACAATTATCTCTCTCTCTCTCTCTCTCTCTCTCTATATATATATATATATATATATATATATATATATATATATATATATATTATAAAAAAGAAAGAACAGTAAGATATATAATCCGGTGTTCTTATTGATATTTTTATTTTTACAAAACAGTGCTCAATGTAAATTTAGAAAGCATAAATATTATGAATTAACTGATTTAGAATATGGTTTCTTCGTTACACAGGAATTACCATGTTTCAAAAACTGAAGAAAAACTTCAAATTTAGTTATATAATTAAATTAAAAGCATTAGTTCCGTTTCATCCTCAACCGAATTTTGGAATCTCGACTCTAAAATTCGTTTGAGGATGAAAACGCAAATATATATATATATATATATATATATATATATATATATATATATATATAAAAAATGTTCTTGTTTTTTTTTTTTTTATTAGTTACTTTGTTTAATAAATTCATTTTGTTTTTGCCTTCAAAAAGTCTACATTGGACGAAACGTGTTGGTTATTATTACAGTTTTCCTATTGTCTTTTACATTTATAAATATTGTCTTTTTCTGCAGGTTAACTCTGAGAAACTTTTCATATATATATATATATATATATATATATAGCTGGCCACTCCGATTCGAGCTAGCCAATCCCTATTGCAGACATCTGCTCTGTGGTTTATAATGTATCTACGCTGAGCAGACCTTAGTCACAGTTTCTGGGAGAGAGCTTGCTATCAAGCGTGATCAACAGTTTGTACTATGCCTGCACGCTCAATCCCACGGTGACGGTAATTTTTGACTTCGTGTTAGCACACCTATCGACGGCCCTCAAGGGTTCCGTCTACCCAGTTTCACTGACAAGGCTTGGGTCAACCCGTGGTATGGTTTTCAGGCAATTTCCACAGGTGCCGCACGCTGGGATCGACCCCTCCAGTCCAATAACATCAGGAAATTTCATGTCTGAAAAATCGACCATGGTTCAATGGACAATGGATAAACTGTTGTCTAAATTACGAAAAAATTGAAATAATACTGACATCTTATTTTGACAGATATATTTACCAAAATCACACAAAAGTATCTTGAAATACTTAAGACTACATTAAATCAATAAAATCGCGATTGTCTTCAACCACAATCTTCATATGACTTCGAAACCTCTTGCAACTTTTCTGGACAGTCTCCTTGTTTAATTTCGTGAATGTTGCTAAGATCCTTGTCTTCAGTTCATCTTTGGTGTTTCAAGGAGTATTGTTGATCTCTCACTCCAGAGATAATAATGAAAGGGTTGTGTCTGGAGAGTTAGGTGGCCAGATGTAAGGAATGATGTGGTCGCACAAGTTGTATAACCGCCATGACCGAGTTCTTTTGCTTGTGTCATATGGTACAGAGTCCAGTTGCCAGACATATAGTTTTCCAGCAGCCGCCCTCTTGACCCAGGGCAGCACTACCTCCTTAAAGTACTTCATGTAGGTCTCCGTGTTAAGCCCTAGGCCATCGCCAACAAATTCGGGAATACTTTTCTTATCAGAAGGATCAGAGTGAGTATTCCGAGCTGCCATACCATCGTAATCAATATGAGACATATCCAACTTCTTTCGAAGCCTTGTCACTGTTCTTTGATTGACACCCAAACACTCTGAAATGTTCGTATTGGAGACTCTGTCAAAAATGCCTAGCTTTACAGGATGCCGTTTCCAAATTTCTGGCGGAGTGAATTGCGTCATGGTACTCTTTTTCTCTCAGACAGTACTGACCCTACTATACTGTGCAGTCGACAAAATTAAAAACAAACAATGCGTATATGCGTGAAATATATATATATATATATATATATATATATATATATATATATATATATATATATATATATTTATGAAAAACTAGGTAATCCGTATGGGTAAACCTAAGGAGGATAAAATCTAGAGAGCTCAATGTAAATGCAGAGCAAATAATTTAAATAAAATTAAATTATTTGTAGACAGTCTAGAGAAAATCAAATTTATATCAAACATTATAATCTTTATGAACCCCCAAAATAACACTTTCAAAGTAAAACAAAATAACAGCGTCTGTTTCTAGCTTTTTTACAAAAAATAGTGACATCTTCTCTTTTCTCTTAACTTCCTTCTCTCTTTTTCTCTCTGTGAGTTTTTTCTTCTCTACCCCTTCGATTTCAATATATAACTCCCGTTAAGTTAACCGTTTAAACGTGTCACTATCTGCTAACTCAGTCATGTCTTCTCTCTCTCCCACCTCACTTCCTAACTTCGTTAATTTACATATGTTTAATAAGGCCCGTCAAATATGTGTAAATTTTCTTTTCATGTTTTGTTTGGAAGTAAAGTCTGATGATTCGCAGTCCTTTTAAAAGGGCTGTGGTGAAATAATTTATTACATGGAACCTTAAAGTCGTCTGTTTTTATTTAATATATATATATATATATATATATATATATATATATATATATATATATATATATATTAAAGTGAAACACTTATAAAAGTGAACATTGAAGTCAACACTCAGGCTGTTTTTCATACTGGACGCAATCGTCAGGCGTGACGATTGCGTCCCAGCATAAAAACAGCCTGAATGTTGACTTTATATTCATATTTACATACGCACTATCGCTGATATTGAATATATATATATATATATATATATATATATATATATATATATATATATATATATATATATACATGTTAATATATATACTCAGTGGTGTAAAAAAACACAGATAGTACAATTTGCAAAAATATATATTATATATATATTATAGTATAAATAAAAATATATTGAAAAATGGGGGAAAAAAAAAAAAAAAAAAAAAAAAACGAGTAGGTCGAAAAATCTCCCAGTGTTATAATTTCTAGTCCAAAGAAAAAAAAAACAAAAGAACAATCGAGTAAAATAAAAAAAGAAAAGAAAACCTAAATTGCTCATCCCATTAAGTAGAGCAAATTATAAAAATCCTAGTGAGCCAGAAACTACCTACCTAGGTTTCACCTAAATGGTTCGTTGGTGAAACCTAGGTAGGTATTTTCTGGGTCACTAGGATTATATATATATATATATATATATATATAAAGGGAAGTAGTTATAGTAGTTCCAACGAGAGAAAAGTGTGTATATTAAAAAGAAGAGAAACGTTTTTGGTTGTAATGTGGATATAAAAAAAAAATTATGGTTTATTTTCCATAATTTTGCTACACGTATTTCTGGTCTCGCGACCTTCATCAGGCAAAGGGTAGATATTTCCACATATTATTAAAAAATAATTAATTTTGTCCTTTATGTTTTACATTGTTAAATATTCTCGATATGAGACATTCTCTTTTTAAATGTTAGTGACCCAAATGTCTTTCTTTAACTGGCAGTGAAGTGTTCTGCGTGAAGGGTTATAAAACAATTAAGTTTGGTCAAGAGAAATGAAGTAGTTATTGGCATGCTTATCTTTTAATGACCTCTGTTTGTTCTATTTCCATTTACGTGTGTTTCTGTCAGCACGCGCGCATATATGTGTATATCCCCTCTCCATACATACACATTGTCTCACTACGAGGAATCAGTGAACTCATCTATACACACACACACACACACACACACACACACATACACACACACATACCGTTCCATTCCAAGGAATCAGTACATACACACACATACGTACATACACTTCATAAGTTACATGGAATCAGTATATACACATACATGCGCACACACATACGTACACATATACACACATACTTCCTATGTTGTGTGGGGTTTGCGTGCGTGACTAAGGGCAGTTCTCCTGCTTTTGTCAATATGCGTATATACATATATATATTCGTGCCCCACAGATACCCGCATGTGAGCGTGCGTGCACGTATGTAAGTTGTTTGACCACTGTATTTGGCCATTATGCGTGCATGTTGCGTGCTTTTACGTGTGGGGTTATGATCTATTTCTTTCTGGTTTAAATTTGTTTATGAAGTTTTTTTTTGTATTTGTATGTAAGAATAATTGTCTGTTTGATATATTGGCATAATTTCATTTTTGTGTGTGTGTGTGTGTGTGTGTGTGTGTGTGTGTTAGTGTTTTTATTAAGGGAAGAAACGTGGGAAACGAAACAGTGTTTATGGAATTATCCCATTTACGTACTTCAAAGTGTTAATAAATATTTGGTACTTTGTTATTCACGGTACCATGAAGATATATGAAGCGAAAAAGAATAATGATATCAAAATATCATGCAGAAAATTTGAACGATGACAAGAATAACCGTTTTTTTTAAAATCATTTCACTCCAAGCTAGATAATAAAGCAATGAAGACACAATTGGGCTACTAAGCGTGAAAGAATATAAGAAAAAGAAAAAAAAAACACTAAACAGGAGAGAGAACAAATAAAGACAAGAATTAAAACAACAAATAATGAATGACATTGCATTTCATTTTTTTGAAGATCAAATTTGACTGGGAAGTAAGAAGCCGGAAGAGAGTTCCACAAGCGAGAAGTGCGATAAAAGAAACTGTTAGCATAGAACTTACGGTTACATCTAGCCGTTTCCCCTGTAAAATAATGAAACTTTACCGCCAATCTATTAAATTCATAAAGTCTAAATACCATAGAGGAAAGTTAATCTGAACAATTATTATGAAAGTATTTATAGAAAAGACCCAGGGAAGCTACGTTACCACGGTGGGGAAAGTGACTGAAGCCAAGATGGACAAGAAAATTACATTGATGATATTTCTTTGGATTTTATCAAGTATCTCTAAATATATTGCAGAAACACAAA